TAAATAATATATATATATATATATATATATATATATATATATATATATATAAACATTTTATCTTATTATTCTCATATTAATAGACAACCTTTAATCTTTAAATAAAAATATGATAATATTCGTTACAAAAAATAATATTAAAATCGTATCAAAAATATAATTATATGAACTATACTACATTTGCATCATTGTTAAAACATTATAATAAAATCCTTAAACAATTTAGAACATAAATGTTTCATTATGAATTTAATTTTGTTTAAAAGCTTCTAATATATTTTGAATTTAAAATAATTTAAAAAAAATATATTAATTAGAGTTTATTCTTTAAATAATTTTTATTTAATGATAAATCTAAAAGTTTGAAAGTCAATTTTTAAAATATAATAATTTCCGAAGATATAGAATTTGTTTAAACAGATTAATTTCAAAGTAAACTCAAAAGGAATCTTTTTATATTTTTTATTGATGATAAAAGAAATTTCTATTTAAATTTTATTTATATCTGTTATCATTCATTCATTTATTATCATTTAATCTAACGATTAAAAAATAATATATATAATTTTTATATGATAAATAATACATGTAATCTTTATATAAAAATTAATTTTTGGTTTTATTTTTTAAGCTTTTTAATATTTTATCAATTTTCGAAATTGTTTTTTTGTTTGAATATGCTCCTTATCGGATTGTAATGCAGTAATAATCAAAACGATCATTTATCAAAAAATTCTTATCAAATACATATATCGGTTAGAAGATCGACGTGGCAGTATTCAACAGATCTCAAAGGCTAAAACATCATCTTATAGAGATTCTTTATTTTTTGTACTAAATTAGTGCATTTATTAAAAAAAGTGCTACTCAAAATAATTGTTTGATTTGTATCGCACGGACGTTATCGAAGAAAACATTGAACATAATATTTTTGAACAGCATATATATTTTTGGATTTCTTGGGAAGTATCTGGAAAGAAATATTTTATTTTATAATATAGTATAAAAAGATTAGCAATATTTTGTATTTTACTTTATACACATAATTGATATATTCATACGTAAAGATTTATGCAAGTTTTTGATTGTTAAAGTTAAAATTACTAAAATTAATTTTCTTTACTATACTATAAATGCTATTAAAAAATTTGTTAAATAATAAATGTCACTATAATGCATGTAAAATGTTTATGTAAAAAAATATTTCACTAATTATAAATATTTCATAAATTATTAAAATTAATTTAATAATACATAATGTAAATGATTAATATTGAATGATTGATAACCTTTTAGTTAAGATTCTGATCACATTCAAATAGAATAAATTTATTATTTTGATTATAACAAATATATTATAGAATTAAAGTTAAATATATATTAATTAAAAAAATTTTAATTAAACACAAGAAAGAAAAATATTTATAATAAATATATATATATATATATTCCAATGCAATTTTTAGTTTATTATAAAATAAATTTAAGAAAAATATTTTGTAAAAAAAATATTTTATCAAGTAGTACTAAATCTCGTATAGAAAGTATCTCGAAAAATTAACATTCTAGAACTTTCACTTTTGATATTCCCAAAACATTTGAAATTCGCATATACAAACACGCCTTATTTCCTAAACATGTACTTGGTTTTATTCTTTGAAATAAAAATAAAATTACAAAGCTGATTGGTTGCTTTATTAATAAATCAGAAGAATTTATTACATATTCTCAAATCTCAACAGCTAGATGGATAATTAATGAAATGATATACATAATTCGTACATTAATTTAACAAATTTAAATATTTAAAATCTTTTAATTTTTTAAATTAATGTATTAAAATTTCTATTTATAATATAAATAATAATTATATATAATTATTTTTTTTAGAATATCAATTTACATATGAAACAAGAAAAATTTGTCATCATCTCTCAATCATATCTCAAGATTTTTATTAAAAAATGAAAATGAAAATATCATGCAAAGAAATCACAAAATACTGCAATTTGAGGAGTAAATAATATATATAGATAAAAAAAATATATAGAAAAAAGAAAAAAATTATACTTACAACTTACGTGTGGCAAAGAGCTATGAGGATTTCTAAGCATCTGTTTCGACAATGAAGATCTTGTCTTACACATTTGGCACAGTTAACATTTATGCCTCGATATTGTTGAAGCGAAGTATAATCACAGGAAATTTGAGGTTATGTTAGACAAATGGATTGTTAACTACAGATCGCATTTAGGCTGGTATATCACGGGCCAAGAAACGTAAATGCGTGTTTTCGAGAAAAGTCACGCGAACATCAACATAACATAGATATGTCGTGTTGTTCGGTAGCTCTGTTCCTTTTTTTCCTAACACCCTTCATTTTTCCCTTTTTCTCTATTTGTTTAATCGTACACTTTTCTACACAACTGATACAAATCGAATCATGTGTAGAAAAATGCGTTAAGAAGTAAAACGAAATGGCAAACTGTAACTGAAGGGCGAAGTCCGTTTGACCCATGAATGAAGGGTTAATATAGTGGTCTCACCCCATGATTGTCGTCTACTAGATACACCCTCTTTTGTCGGCGTTGTATACTGCATCTAAGGCGGAAAATTCAAAATTAAAACTTTATTTATTTTGATTTTATCGATATCATTTTTATATGTTTAAATTATATTGTTAAATTTTTTTATCCATTGTTTGCCAACAGAAAAAAAAATCTTAATTAAAATAGAATATAAATATTAAAAAAAGTACAGTTAGAATTATAAATGTATAAAATTTTAAAATTTGTTGTATATCTTTATATTTTTGAAAATCTATAAATAAATATTATGAAATATTATATGATATTATATTTTTTGTTTTAGTTTTAATATTTTTTTAAATAACAAAAAAAACTATTTATAGAATAAATCGTATTATAATATTTTTTTCAATTTTTTCTAATTCAAATTTTTAAATACAAAATTTTTATTTAATTTTTTATAAATATGATAAACTAAATTTTTAAAAATATAAAAAATTATATATAAAAATACTAAATTTTATATTTAATATAAAATTTTTATATATTTAAAATATTATTTCAAGATTGAATTAATTTTTAAAAAATCCTATTTAAAATGTTATTTAATATAAATTTGAATTTTTATTAATATTTAAATTCATGAAATAGTATAGAAAAAAAATATCTTAAGATGATGAATAAAAAAAAAATGCAAAGTACTTTTTTAAACTTTATTTGATAAATCGATAAAGATAGAAAAATGATAATGGAGAAATGAAAATGCGCGCTTTACAAACGATTATTTTGAATATTACCGCGAAATAAGTTTAATTATAAATAATAACTATAGGTGGCGCTGAATATTCGCGGCATGAATTGAATGGACGCGAGAAACTCAAGCGTCTGCAGCGCTATAGCCACCTCTCCCTGGGGCGCGTATTGCGCATGCGTTGCACGTTTATTATCTTCTTTCTGTTCAAGTGCCATTTCATTGCATGCAGTGCAGTCTATAAAACAGAATGCGTTCTCCG